AATTTCCCACTTTGAATCTCAGCTGGCCCCACCCGGAATCACATCTAAAAACTGAGTATCTTTATCTTATGATAGCCTGCTACCTGTAGACTCATAGAATAGACCCTGAAATCCGTCTGTGTGTGTGTGTATGTTTCTCTCTCTCTCTATCTCTATCTCTCTCTCCACCCCCCCTTCCTCCCTTGCTGATAATGAAAATAGAATCCTTTTCCATCAGCCCAGCTTGGCTCACTAAATATGCTCTCTTTTTTGGCTTTGGCTACTCTGTACTTTGGACCCAGTGTGGGGTCTGGAATCAGCAAAATTTACCAGACCCTGTGTTGGTCACTATTGTAGAGCTGGAAAGAGAAAGAAAGAGAGAAAAAAGAGGGAGGAAGCTTTTCTTGTAGCAATTGGAGATCTTAAACTCCAAAGCACTGATCATAAGAGGCCAGCAAAATGGAAGATATTAATATATATTTTATATAGACACCTGCTATGTATTCACAACTTCTGTTGTTTTCTGATCCTCTGAACTTGCTTTGAGTTTGATGGTTTACAGATGACAATTTTCAAATTCACAGAAAAGGGAGGGAATTAATTTATTAAACTGACAACAGGATGAGCTCTTTACAATTTCTCTATCATTTTAATAGAAGTTACGTGATGTGTCCAGAAACACATAATTGATCACTGATGAACTTAGCATGTGTGATTTCTCTGACTCTAAATGCTTCCTACTTCCCATTCTGTCAATCGCTCAAACACCTCTTTCATGATTTGTCCAAAAATCTTGTTTCATGTACACCACTATTATTTTTCCTACTGGGAGTACGACTGAGCAGCTAGTACCTTGTTCTGAAGTCAAACTCTCTAAATTCCAGTTCTACTCCTGCCTCTCACTAGCTTACATCCTTGGGCAGCTCATTTTCTGGGGGAACTAATATTTAAAATGGAAGCAGATAATAGTACCTCCTTTGTGATGTTGTTTTGAGGATTAAATGAGTTAATATATGTAAAGTGCAATGGTGAGTACTCAGTGCTCATTAGCATGATTTTGGCCTTTTCCTTATATCAGGCTTACTGCAATGTGAGTGAATATATTAAAAGGAGGGTGGAGATCTTATTATACAGCAATGAAACTACAAGTTTGATGTAGCAGCTAATATTTCAATAACCATTAAAATTAGTACATAAGATGCAAATAAAATGTCCTCATCCCTGGAGCATCTAAAATGACTTCCAAGTTTTCAATCTTGCTTCAAGAATATGGCCCCAGTTCAGGTTTTTTCCTACAAATAGAGAGAATACAGAATGTTGAGTATTTGAAATTTAAACATAAACATGGAGGAAGTCGTTATTACAAATAAAAAGGAGAGAATGCAAAGGGAGAAACAGATCATACTTCTGAAAACCTGGCTGTATTATAAAGGAGGGAGAGAGACCCTAAGACAACATAAGCTGCTTTTGAAATAGATGTTGTCCCTGGCTCCTGACCCTCAGGTACAGAGATGCCTTCAGTTAGAAACTGCAGCAAAGACAGCATGCAGAAAAGCAGTCGGGGAGCGACCACAGGGTAAAGGATATATAAGGCAGGAAGACCTGCAGGCAAGCAAATCAAACAGGGAAAACTAAAAGGAAAGAAAATTAGCCAACAATAGAACCGAAGTGTTTGTCATGTACCACAGCTGCACAACAGAGAAAGACACCACAGCAAAGAGCAAGAACTGCTCAAGACGAGCAGGAATCACACCAAAAAGCTCAGAACTTGAACCAGAGAATCCCACAGTAGAGTTGCTGAAGGGATACTGGAGAGAATTCACCCCAATTCCCTCACTTGACAAAGTCTAAAAAGGGTGATAGCTGGAGCAGGGCCAGGCTGAGGGCAGTAGCCAGGAACTCCACCTGGGTCTTCTATGTGGGTGGCAGGTGTCCAAGCATTTGCACCACCTGGGGATGTTTTCCCACACACACTAGCAGGGAGCTGGACTGGAAGTGAGACAGCCTGGGCTGGAATCAGCACTCAAACAGCAGCTTAACGAGCTGTATCACAAACAGCAGCTTAACGAGCTGTACCACAATGCTAGCATAAAAATCACTCCTCAATTTAAGGATAAAGGAAGCATACTTCAAACAGGAGGAGAAACTGAAGATGTGACTCTTGAAGAAATGTTATTTAAAGTTTTGCCTTTAACTTTCTTGCCTGTTCAGGACAGCTACTCCCACTGGGGAGTATGAGCTGGGATGGGAGTAGACCAGACCAAGCAGGGCTATAACACCTGTGTGCCTCATGTGGACTAGATCAGGGAAAAGCCAGGCTGGGCTGATTATTCCTACTGGTACAAACAAAATTAGAGTAGGTGAGGGTTGTTTGGGTTTAGCTGCAGCATCAGCTGGCAGAGCTGGCAAGGGGCCTAGTTCTGTCAAGTCAAACCACAGAACTACCTGGAAAATGCATAATCCGGGAGTGGGAGAGGCCTGGGAGGGAAATAGTGGGCTCATCCCTCTTGGGTGACCACTTCTACGGAAGGGCATGAAAACCAGGACAGGGGCTGGGGTGGAATGGGGTGTGGGACAGACTGGACTACTGCTACACATACTGGCAAACCAGGGTAGGGGCGGGCCTGGTGGGGGTTATTGTGGGTCACTCCAACTAGGTTGCAGCTCCCACTTGTTTATGTGAGGGCCGAGAATGTGCTGCGCAGAACCAGGCTGGACTGCAACACCCATTGGTTGCAGTGGAAGTCGGGGCTGAAAACAGAATCAACCCAGCAACCCAGAAGCAACCACCAGCTGATCAGGGCCATGAACTGAGCCGGGCCCTATACCTGCTAGTACATACAAGAATCTGGTCCGAGTACACCGCACTCAAAGTTTCTTTGGAGATTTCTCCAATCGAAATGCTGGACTCAGAACCCTAACCAAGAAAAGAGAGAAGACAGAACAGGTCAATCAACCATGTCAGCTATATGTTGGCAGCAAAATACTGGGCAAATGGAAACTCTATGATGGACAATGTCAATCAGTGGATTCTTCAAAGACCTCATAGTGCTTGCAGTGGCAAGATTGGCAATGATTTATAACTGATGAACTATCAAAACCACTTGAGCAAGAACCTCAGAGCACACCCTACATGTGGGACCTGGGGAGGGTGGGAAATTGGGTGGGGCATCTCCCTTAATACCCCCCTTTAAACATGAAGGAAACAATATGGAAATAATAGTCTTACCCACTTTCCTGTAGCCCTTTAACCTTTTTACCCCAATTAACTATGTAAAGATTGTCAAAAATATAATTTTTAAAAGTCCAGAAAAAAAAACTTTCTTGCCTGTTCAAAATGGAATTTAGAATAAATTAAACTGAAAACAGCATCGCAAGGGTCAGAATAATGAAGTTAAGAGAAGGGGAGGAAGGAAGAAAGAAAGGAACTCTGAGAATAAACCAGCAAATGGAAACTTTCTCTCTGCCAAGAAAGACAAAGACAGATGAAGAAAGGAGAGAGAGAAAGAGAGAGAGAGAGAGAGAGAGAGAGAGAGAGAGAAAGGCAAAAAGAAAGAGAGAAAAATACAAGTCCCAGAAAGGTAGGATTAAAAGACAACTTTATTTAGGGGAGAAAAAGATGAAATCATGCACAATTTATTCGTACTACACATTTCCATCATCTTTTCAAAGTCCTCCAAAATGCATAATATTCTGAAATTAGTTTGAACCAAAATAAATTTACCTTTTAATTTTGTTTTCCATGAGCTTTTTGAAATATAGTTATCTCCTTCCTTCTTGTAAGAAAAAACAAAAATCTTCTCATAACTCTCCCTCCCTGCCATTAAAGAAGGTTGCATACCAGTGATCAGCAAAGCTGCCATATGGGCATCCTAGCTCCAAGGGAGGCACAGGAAGCAAGCAGTCAGCGCTTCCAGACTCTGGCTTAGAGGTGAACGAGAGAAAAGGAAGTGAGGCATGAGAAATGGGGCAGGCTATTTGAGTGAGGGCTGCCATGTCCAAAATGGTTTTTTAAAGTGAAATTGACATGACATGTTGTATTTGTGTTCATTGTTTTGTATCCAAGCCTTCTCTTTGGTGGTTTCTAATTATTTTGATGCTGTTGCTTACCATTCACAGAACATTCTCCACAAATATTGCCATTGTGTTTCTAAAAGTACTCAGTTGGGAGAACATTCCAGTGGGGACAAAAACTTGAACCTTAGCATGTCAAAGCTGAATTGAAGGGAAAGGTAGGAAGGTGACATCTAGTAAGCACTGTGCTTCTACTAAAACAGGCCTGCAAAGAAAATACAGTGGATAGACACCAGTAAGAACTGTTACATATAGTAAACAAGTAGTAAAGATGCTTTACTACTATTATTCCCTATTATCATTTGCCTGGTAGAAAATGTTTAGGATCTCCCCAGTTTGGAAAAGCTTGTTTGTTCTGTTGGAGGTCTTCAGTCAAAATCAGCCACTCTGGTTTAGGCACAGGCACCCCAACTGGTGTTTCAACTGCTAAGTCAATGACCACTCCTATGCAAGAATGTAGCAAAGCAAGAACTTACAGTCAATAGCAGATTTACTGTTTTTGAAAATACTTGGCAAGTCTAATAAACTGGGCACCCCAGAGAAAGAGGAAAGGCCATATCCAACATGCCTCTGAATGCATGACGTGCTTTCCAGAGAGGCCCAGGTGAGGTCACATTGAGGTGTGGTTGTTTCCTTAAGGAATAGCCTGATCAAGAACATTAAGAAGTTTTCCTGCCGGCAGTTCAGAGGGTGGGTCCACATTTATGAAAAGGCAATTATGAATTCTAATGAACAACTCAGATAAGGGAGTAATGAATAGGTACCCCATGTTCCAATATCACTTCATTATAGGCATCATTCCTTCTGGCCTCCTGAGTTTCATCCTCTCTCATCAATGTAATTTTGTTCCATGAAACCACCTTACCTTTCCTCTTCCCATGCTGTAAGGGTCTCTTATAGCATATTAGGTCAATATGCCTGAAGAAATTCGATTTCTTTTTTATTTTTTAGTTATGGAATGCTTCATGAATTTGCATGTCATTCTTGAGCAGGGGCCATGCTACTCCTCTCTACATCATTTCAGTTTTTTAGTATAAGTGCTGCTGAAACGAGCACGAAAATTCAATTTGCAATACTAGGAAGACAAGAAGTGCTCATGTAAGCAGAATGCTCAGGGCGTGTCTTACAGGCTTGGTCTTTGAGGACTCTGGTGTGTAGGTTACTGACAGAAATATGAATCCAGAGGGAGAATTGTCCTCCCCCACATTTGTTTCAACAAGTTTTCACTGAATGTGTTTTATTGTATGCACATCCCTGGGCCACATACTTCTGTGGACTCTGAAGTAAGAGACATCAGAGAACAGTGAAAAGGGCACAGGCATTGGTATCTAGAAGACCTCAGTTCTAGCTTCAGCTCTATCACAACGAAGTTGAGCACATTATGTAAGCTCTGTACACTTTACTTTCATCATTAGTGAAAGAGGGAACTGATACACAGGATGTTTTGTGGGAATCAAGTGAGATTACATACCTGGAGTACTGAGGTGCTAAGTCAGTGTTATTATTGATGTGCAAATGTAGCCTATTCTCAGGGTCCTGCGCGATGGCTCAATTGGCTAATCTTTCATTTACAAACGCTGGGATCCTATATGGATAGTTGATTTAGTTCATGCCCTGGCTTCTCCACTTCCTATCCAGATCCCTGCTTGTGGCCTGGGAAAGCAATGGAGGATGGCCCAAAGCATTGGGACCCTGCACCACATGGGAGAACCAGAAGAAGCTTCTGGCTCCTGGCATCAGATTAAATTAGTTCTGGCCATTGTGGCCACTTGGGGAGTAAATCAATGGATGAAAGATCTTTCCCTCTGACTCTTCCTTCCCTCTGTAAATCTGCCTTTGCAATAAGGATCAATGCATCTTTAAGATAAATAATTGTAGCCTGTTCTCAAGAAACACTATGTATTTGAAGAGATGAAACATTATCAAATATTAAATCATTTAGTAGGAGCAATATATGTTGTTGGAATTCAGACATAAACATGTGTGAGATGAGTACTATTTTAATAACTTGGTTAATAAGCACTGTAGCACAGCAGGTTGAGCTGCTGCATGTGATGCTGGCATTCCATGTCAGAGTTCAGTTATTTGAGTCCCAGTTACTCCTCTTTCAATCCAGCTTCCTGCCAATGTACCTGAAAAGACAGCAAAGGACAGCCCAAGCACTTGGACTCCTGTCCTCCATGTTGGACACCAGGAAGGGGTTTGATATTTAAAATCCACATAGTTTTCTAAAGGTACTTACTGACAGAGGAAAACATTTAAAGTGGGATAGCCACAGAGTGGAATACTGTATAACTTTTTAAATAAAAATTGGATAGATTTTTATGTACTTCTTTGGAAAGATAGAAGATATTGCTAATTTTTGAAAAGTGAGATGAGGATCCAAGTATGTATGGTTATTTTATTAAGCATACTTTCCTCTAAGGTTTGGAATTCTCTAAGAAAACTTTGCACCTGTCTCCAATAATCTGTTTTATTTCCATTTAGTAAAAAATGTTCTGTGAAAGATAAAAAGAATTTCTAATAGCAGAAAACATGAGGAACCCAAATGTGTAACAAAGGGCTCTTTCTTATCAAATGAGCAAGCGGACTCTATACATCTGTTTCAAGTGTGATGGGTTGAAATCATGTAGGTGTGGTTGCCTAAGTCCAGGGCAGCAAAAAGAGATAAGCAGTTTGCTTCCCCATACACCTTTGACTCTGGTGAACCAGGGCTATCTCACTCTACGCATTCTTTCCATTGGAGAACTGAGCATGATTCAGCAACCTATTCGGTCCTTCCCCATGTGAACGTTGGTGTCAAAGGGCTAAGAAAAATCTGCTCAGTGCACTAAGAAGTGAGAGGAGCATTTGGCCATTTACATTCATTCTTTCCTTTGTTGAGCATTTACTGATGACTGTCTAGTTGAATGACAGTTGACACTCATGAGCTCTGTGAGCTCCCACACTGTAATGCTAGAAGTAGTTGGACTTTGCCTATCTCTTCTTTTTCAACACCATTATGGTAGCAGTAGACATGGATGTCTACAGTGATATGAGAATATTACCTAAGGAATAAATAGCCTTAAGTTGCTGGCAGATCTTTTGATTATATTTAAAGTTCTTTTATATAGAAGAATGGAAATCATGAGCAAAATGAAAGAATACATTTGACACATAACCAATGTCCTAAAATCAGACAGCTATACAGGAAAAAAGAATACAAAGGAACTCAGCAAAAATAATTTTAAAATCATGGATGATTTTTCTGGGAACATGTGTCATTTCATTACTTTCTACAACATCCTGGAAAGTAAATATTATACCTCATATACAAAGTGTAAAGATACTGACATTCCAAAGGGTAAAACAACTAACCCAGAGCCACACAGCTGGTAAGTGGCTTTTGAACCAAGATTGAAATGATCAGAACCTGCTGCATTACAATGTAACAACAAATACATTAACCACTGGCAGTATAATAAAAGGAAAAACAGGTATTTGAAAGTGAGAAGTATGTAAGCTGTCGGTATTGGCCAGCACTGCTAAACCCACAGCAATCTCCCAGAACACCAGCACCCTACAGGGGCCCATGTAACTGTGATGAAGTGAGGTAAGAAACCAGACCGCTGTTATCTTGTCCTAGCACAGACAAAAGAAGAGCCCTATGTGAACCACAAAAACACCAGACTCTACTTGAATAAAATGAGTGACTGCTGTTTCATTAAAACTTGAGCCCCATTTCACTCCTCTCACTTGTTGGATGGAATTTAAGATACTCAGTCGCAGGCCAGTGGACTGGCATATCAGACTAATGCTCCACCTGTGGCATCAAGGATGCCAGTTCTAATCCCAGCTGCTCCATTTATGCTCTAGCTCCCAGTTAAAGGGCAGGAAAAGCCATGGAGGATGGCCCAAGGCTGTAGGCTCCTGCACCTATGTGGGAGGAAGCTCTTGGCTCCCAACTTTGGACCAGTCCTGCTCTGGCCATTGTGGCTGTTTGAGAAGTGAACCAGAAGATAGAAGACCATTCTCTCTATTTCTCCCTCTCTCTCCGTAACTCTTTCAAGTTAAATAAACAAACAAACGAATAAATAAGAAAAATAGACAGTCATAGGATTATACCCACACACTAACAGCATCCAAACCAAACTAAATCTCCACTTCCTTAATCTCCTGCAAAAATCATCTAATGTGAACCCTAAGCTTATAACCCATCAATATAAACAGCCTACTGCTGAGGTCCCTCAGTGTTCCCCATGGGGTCCACTTTGCATCAAGCATTAAGTTCTACTTGCTCAATCACAGTTGCAACCCAGCTGGCATTTAGCTTGAAGGACATAGACAGAAAGGACAATAACCCAGATTCATCAGAGACCCTGGATGCCTCATCCTTGGTCTAGGTCTCAGATCTCTGGCTTCAGTAACACTCAAGATGCAAGATTCCCATTTTATTAGCCACCTATGTGCCAGCAGGGAGGTACGGTCCCCTTGAACTGAGCACTGACATTTCCTTGAAGCATTTCAGGACTGTATTTAGTTTATCTTCTTGTAATAAGGTCCCTTGGGATTTCTCTAATACATGCTAATATCTGTTCTGTTCTTTGTGAACTTGTGTAAAATCTCTTGTACTCTGAAGGAACTGAAAGCCTAATTGGAAGTCGAGAATTCTGGTGCAACATGTTGAGCTCCTACTTGGAATACCTATATCTTGGAGAGCCTGGTTCAAGTCTTGGCAATTCCATTTCTACTGTAGCATCCTGCCTAAGTGTGCCCAAGGCGAGGACTTTTAGCCGCTAGGCTACTGTGCCAGGTCCAATCGTTGGCATTTTTTAAAGCTCTAGTGTTCAGGGTGAGTGCTTGGACTGACAGTTAAGATGCCTCCTTGGGATGCTCACATCACATGACAGAGTGTCGTCATGCATATCTGGTTTCACTGCAGATCCCAGCTTCCTACGAATGTCTAACTGGGAAGGAAACTGGTGACAGCCCAAGTGGTTGAGTGTCTCTACTCAAATACACAACTGGGGCTGAGCTCTTGGCCTTGGCTGCTGCAGGCATTTGAAGACTGAGGCAACAGATGGGAGCCTCTTTCTACCCCTCAAAGAAATGCAATATATATTTATGTTAAAAACAAAAATGAGGGCCTAGTAGTGGCTAAAGTTCTCACCTTATATGCACTGATATCCTTTATGGATGCTGGTTCTAATCCCAGCAGCTCCACCTCCCATCCAGCTCCCAGCTTGTGGCCTGGGAAAGCAGTTGAGGATGGCCCAAAGCCTTGCAATCCTGCACACATGTGGGAGACCTAAAAGAAGCTCCTGGCTCCTGCCTTCGGATTGGTTCAACTGCAGCCATTGAAGCCACTTAAGGTGTGAACCAGTGGACAGAGGATCTTCCTCTCTGTGTCTCCATTACTATGTAAATCTGCCTTTCAATAAAAATAAATAAATCTTTAAAAAAGAAAAAGAAATGGTAGAGCATTCATAGAGCATTTACAAAAGCAGGCCTTGTGCTGAGCACTCTGCAAGAGTTACCGCCTTCATTCTTCACAACAATCTCATTAGGTAGGCACTGTGATTTTCTCTATTTTAAGTGTGGCATATATGAGGCCTGAGAACATCTTTTTTATTTTCAAACAAAGCATTGCCAAAGGTCAAAGCCCTAACCTGTTGTACTGCTGAGGTTTGAAAGCAGTCGGGGTAGCTGCTGTGGTGTGGAAGGCTATGCTTTCATCTACAGTGCCAACATCCCATATGGGCACCAATTTGAGTCCTGGATGTTCCACTTCTGACCTTGATCCTACTTATGGCCTGAGAAAGCAGCAGAGAATGGCTCAAGTCCTTGGCCCCAGCACCCATGTGAGATACCTGACTCCTGGCTTTGGATCAGCTCAGCTCCAGCCCAACCAATGGATAGATCTCTTTTCTCTTTCTCTCCATCTTTCTGTAATGCTGCCTTTCAAATAAAAATAAATCTCTTAAAAAGAGATGAAAGCATACAGTCCTCACAGCCAAGATGTTTAAACTTATACTTTTCACAGTATGTGCTTCATGGGAAAGCAGCAGAGATGACCC